ACAATCCCCAGGTGCCACTGGCAGGTGCAATTCCTGAGCTGCCATTGCAGGTGCAATTCCTGAGGTGCCACTGGCAGGAACAATTCCTCAGGTGCCATTTCCAGCACCACCTCTTGAGGTGCCACTTGCAGGAACAATTCCTGAGGTGCCCCTGGCAGGAAAAATCCCGAGGTGCCCCTGGCAGGAACAATTCCTGAGGTGCCACTGGCACAGCAATTCCCCAGGTGCCCCTGGCAGGACCAATCCTGAGGTGCCACTTCCAGCACCACCTCTTGAGGTGCCACTTGCAGGAACAATCCTGAGGTGCCCCTGGCTGGAAAAATCCCGAGGTGCCCCTGGCAGGAACCCTTCCCACCCTCGTTGCTGGGAGTGGGGTGGGGAAGCTCCCTCTGTGCCATGCCCATAAACCAGGTGGAAAATAAACAATCCCATTATCCCTGCCTGCTGTCACCTGCTCATTCCTCTGGTTCTTCCATCCTTCCTGCAGGGAAGCGCGATGGATCCATCACCCAGGAGCCCACCATGGTCTTGCTCACTCCTTGCTGCTTCCCCACCTCTGTCCCAGCTGCAGAACCCCCTGCCCGCCCTGTCCCTGCTGGAAAAGGCTGGATGCTGAGCTGGATGCTGAGCTGGATGCTGAGCAGGATGCTGATCCCCTCTCCAGAAAGCAGAGCTGTGTGCCACTCGTGATTTTGGAGGTTTTATTAAGCAAACTCTTTACAAAGTCATCCTGTACAGAGTGACCTCGCAGTCCTGATTTAAAAACGAGCTGAGGGTCGCCCCTGCCCCGCGGAGCCGGGTGGGAACGGGGCTGGGCTGCTCCTTTCCCCCATAAATAAAAGAGCTTATTCTGTTCCTGCCTCCTGCTATTTACAGGGGTTCCTGTGCTGGGACTCCACGAGTGCCAGCAGGGAATGGGTACCAGGAGGCAGCAGGGCTGAGCTGAAATGTAGTGTGGGCCTGAACAGCAACGACCGCGTGGAAAAGGGATTTGTTCTCATTCCTCATCTTCAAGTACACTTTGGGAAATCCATGTGCCTGCTCCAACGGCAGCTGCACCAAAAGCCTTCAAACCGCTGCAATAATTTACCTGTACCGTTTAAAAAGAACTTCCCTATGTGAGACTGGAGGGCAGGGAATGGATCCCCTGAGGGTTTGCATTTCCCACCTTTAAATAAGATTTATGTACAGAGCTAAACCCGACTTCCCCCACCCCCAGCAGGGACTGGGATGGATGGTGGGGATCTACTGAGATCCACCGGGATTGACTGGGATGGATGGTGGAGATCCAGTGGGATCATTGGGCTTGGTGGTGGGGATCTACTGGGATCCACTGGGATGAGTGGTGGGGATCCACTGGGATGGATGGGATCCATTGGGATGGATGGTGGGGACCCACTGGGATCACTGGGCTCCAGTGGGATTGATGGGATTGACTGGGATGGGTGGTGGGGATCCAGTGGGATCACTGGGATTGATGGTGGGGATCTACTGGGATTCATGGGATGAGTGGTGGGGATCTACTGGGGTCCACTGGGTTTGAGGGTGGGGATCCAGTGGGATCATTGGGATTGATGGTGGAGATCTACTGAGATCCACTGGGATTGACTGGGATGGGTGGTGGAGATCCAGTGGGATCACTGGGATCCACTGGGATCATTGAGATGCACTGGGATTGCTGGGATCCACGGGGTTGGGTGGTGGGGATCCATTGGGATGGTGGGGATCCACTGGGTTGGGTGGTGGGGATCCATTGGGATGGTGGCGATGTTCCCCCACAGGACCGGGGTGCCCAAACTGGTGCCACAGGGCCTGGGGAGGAGCCGTGTCCTGGTGGCTTCACTTTGTCACCTGCAACACAGAGCCGT